ATAAATAAGTCTGTGAGAGGGATGCAGGCAAACTAAAACAGAAATATTTATAAACTGTTTAACTAGATTACTACAGTCCATCTGGGAGAGAGTAGTATTTCATCACATTACTGCTTTTTTAAGGTCAAACACATCAAGAAAACAAAAACAAATATAAAACCTCTCTGTGGACAGAATAAAGCAAAGTCTCGTCTTGTAACAGGTTTTAATAGTGTTACCAAAAACAAAATAAAAATAAATAAATAAAAACCTTAAGAGCCAGAATCTCTCAGTAGCTACTGATTGTCAAAGTTACTAATATCTTTGGCTGTATTTACTTAAGTTCCTTGGCTAGAACTCAGTCAGTTTGACAGATATTGAAGTAAAATTTGGTGTGGTAGTTGCAGAGATTCATCTTCAACATATTCTGAACACATCAGTCCTCTCACTGTGTTATAGCCTGATCTCATGCTGAGAGCGCGCTCTGATTGGTTAAAGCACATTGGTCAGTGCTTTCAAGCATAACCCTATGTGAGATGAGCTACGAATGAATATTGTATCAGATTGTGTGTAATTTCTCGATTAATAACTAACTGTTTGGTCCAGACAAGAGTGGGCTCATGGGCTGTTTGTTGACAGTCTCTTAATTTAAGAGAAACTGAACCACTCCCTTTTTAAACCCTAAAACTGTTGAGAGGGGGATCGTCTATTCATTATTTTTTTAATCACAGCAGGAGGATTGATGAGACCTGATGGCAGCTTTCTGGCCCAACTCTGTTTACAACCTGAAGTTGGAGGATGGACGAGGCAAATACAAGCTTATAGACGTCCTAAGGCGACAGAAGTCTGAGTTCAGGAGGCTGTGATTGTGGTGAATGAGGAAAAAATGAGGAGACGGAATTATCACAACTCAAAAAGACCAACGCAAAGATGTGTGAATAAAAAGTGAATGCTGTTCAAATTCTGTCCAGGCAACTGGGAAGCAGGCCACAAAGAGGAAGACCACTTCCTGCCACCGCTAAAGACGGACTCTGTTTTTCATCAACGTGGGAGCTTTACCACAGGAGAATAAAAACCAAACACTTGGAGTAAACAACACTCTTATTCAAGGACATCTAGCGTACAAGGACTACAGTGTGTAAGGTCAGCGTAGGGTCAGTATATGCATTCAACGGATTTATTAGCTGATAATCCAATTTCACATTAATGTTGAGCACTGAAATTGGCATGTCGTAATGCAGCTTCCACACGGACAACAGTAAAACTGTCTGACTGAAAATCCAAGACAAAGAATGAATAAAACACTCTGAGCAATAAAACGCTGACGTTAGGAGTCAGTCTAATGGCTGCTTTCACTCCCATTCTTTTCTCACCCTCTACCTCTTCCCTGTTAGTGTTAATCACTGCCTTGGATGGGGGAGGAAAAGACACTCAGACAAAAGTCTGACCTCACCTTCGGGCCTAGCTCTACTTCCTCCTAAAGCCCTGATAACAAGCGAGTACACATATAAACCCTTACTTTACAGTTCCCACATTGGAGACTCCCTTTGTTGTGTTTAACCGGACCAGAGTCCTGATAGTTCATTAAATACTCCGGTTAAATTTTAGCCATGTTTCAGGGGTTTTAAACGACTTCTTGTACAACAAGCTCGGCTCTGAGCAGCGAACAATGAAAGTGTCAAGACTACAAAAAGTAAAAACATGCAGAAAGCAGGGCAGTAATTTAGTTTTCCTCTCCAGAACTGGCTTTACAAGTTCTACAGCAGAACCAAACTCTTTTTTTTCCCTTGACAAGTTTAAAATACCTTGAAAACAAATTTGTTGACAATCTAATCAAGCAAAAGTCAAGCTAGTGTGATTATTTATATAAAGCTTAATTAATCAATTTACTAATTAGCTGATTTTCTAGTAATTAACCTATTACAGACAATGTCAGGTGAGCACTAAATGAATAATAATCAGAATGTTTTGCATGTTTTTGATAAATAACAAATTAGCAGATGTTTAGTTTTCTAACATTATACAAAATTACTTGGTAAATTAATAAGTCTGTTTGTAAGTCGTTACATTAATTTGATAATTAAAAATGTGTTATGTAATTATAAAATCAATTATGATTCCCCCCTCCCCCATTCTTTAACATAAAAATATGATGGGTCACATAAGAACTGAGCAACGAGACATATTCTTTAAAAACACAACTAAAAGACAAAATGAGGTAATAAATGCATGTTTCTCATTTTCACTTTTGATTATACACATTCAAGTTTTAGTCAACTAATAACATAGGAACAGCATTCATGTTTACCTAACTAGAAAGGCAAAAATGCACAGATTTTCTGAAAAGTGCTGTTTATCTCAATGGTAAAACATGCAAATGACTCCACCATAAACAAATATACAGTAAGTAAAAGGCAAGCATGCTGCAGGATTTGTAATGGCGACTAGACAGAAGGACTGTGCTGTGAGCGATGACTACAAGCTTATCACTGATGAACAAGAAGCAGTGGCATTCCAAGCAGACCTGGCATTCCTCCACAGTACAACTAAATTAAGCGGGGGTGGGGGACTCGCTTTGCTGACCTATGCTTTGGACGTCTTAATTGCCAAGCTGCAGACCTGCCTGCCTCCTCTCCATGAAGTCATTCGTCACTGGTGACTGCTGAGGCAAAACAAGGGGTCGGGGTGCCTCTCTGAGCTTCCACGAACACCCAGGACCATCCGTCTCACCGTCAATCTCTGCCAAGCACGATTACGTCCCCCCCACAACATAAACAGGGCACTTTCCACAATTAAACTACCCAGAAGTGACTGAAACAAGGTTTCCGGTCGCAGCCTGTCCTCAGTAATGAAAAATAGCTTTGCTGGAGCTTCTCTGCAGGATGTTGTGGCCTCCAGGCAACACGGCCCACCTGCAGGGGTATACAAGGGAGGGAGCTCACCAAATACACTCCTGCCAGGCCTACGGACAAGGTCGCTAGTAATAAAACACACTGTATTACACAAGCAAAACAACACACTGAATTTGTTGTAGCCATATCTGAGAATGTGATAAAAACTCAGCAGACATCAGTGGGAGTGTGTACATTTTAGAGATTAGCAACGACTAAAACAGCCTAACAGAAGTAAAGGAGGGAGGAAACTTATTACCTGTAAGTTGGACCGCTTTACTCTTAATGTGATTTTTACTGACAGTAGGAAATATATCACGGTGAGCCGATGACAACAAAACTGTCAGACATGAATAATAATAAGCTCAAAAACATGGTCTAAAAACTGCCAAACACTCCTAGAAGCTGGATCGGAGCCCTCCGGGCCTCAGGAGCGACAGAGGCTGGACAGCCACATGACTTTGTGGATCGGTGCTTTCAAAAAGAGAGTCAACAATATGACAAGGAACTCTTCCCATGTTTAAACAAAGTTGTGCCTTCAAGCAGTGATGAAGACGGCGGTCTTTGACAAAAGGCAACTTCTTCTAAAAGAGAAAAAACTGAATTGCTCCATCGAGCTGATGTAATCCCAGTCTCCTGCCAAACAACACGACTTATTCAGGAATCCTGAAGCCGATGCGGCACAAGAGGGGACTAGTTTAGGTCAAATGTTGGCAGGGCTGCGTAAACATATTTTTTAAAGCCCGATATGATGAAAGTCGCAGACAGGTATGTGCTTTCTTGTTGAGTGCTCCCCCTCAAGTAAGCTATTGTTTTGAGCCTCGGGTTAAATTTTGAGTGATTTTTTTTTCTAATTTGTAATTAAGTTCAGACTCATCCTGATCTGACTGATAAAACTCCAAGCAAGTCTTGTTAAATGTGATAAGATTGATAAACAGCAACACTGTGCACGTTTCAGCATCTTCAACAAGCTAAAAATGTTTCGTTCAGTTTTCTATTGCCACAGACTTTTAGCTTTTTGCAAAAATGCTGCAGATAGAGCTAATTCATCAAAATCTTTAGGGAAAAATGTTTCTACTCTTCTGCAGTGTCTAAAGTTTTTAAGCATGAATACGCTCACTATCAGCAGCGAATCATGTGAACTCTTCAGACCCTCAGTCTGAGTAAATGAAGAGGTGCCTGAGAAACTGAGGCTGCTACAAGCTGACACCAGTCTGCACGTGCCGCCACAAATGCAAATCAGAGTGAATGGACTGAGATAGTACAACAAAAATACAGCCAGTCACACTATAACTGAATTATACATCTTTTTTACAGACTAAAAGGATGTTGACACATTCATTAAAAAAGTGAGCTGATGTTAAGTTTCATTTAGATTTTTAAACGCCCTGTTTACGACTGAACCATCTCTCTTTTTATCCCCATGCTGAGTGCAGCAAATCAACGTGAAAACCCCTCGCATTTACACTGCAGTCCTGTGCTTACTGAATGCACTGTAGTTTCAGTGCTGCAGGTTTCATCAGGAAGGGCAAAACAATTGCCAAATTCAAGTACACTTGACGTTGCCACCCATGAAGAAAAGAAAAACAAAAACGTTTCGACGGGCACACTAAACTGAGCCTGAGAAGCGCTCTCAGAAGAAATCTTTCTTTTACTCCATCCGGCCACACTAGCATCTCTTCGCCTTCATATCAATATTACCACCTGATAACAACGATGATCAGGCCAGTGAACTCTCTTCAGCTGACGGGTAGACAAAACACAATCCTGTCATCACAGGGCTCCAACACATTTCTTTAATATTATACTTTTCCAAGATAAAATTCACATTTTTTTCTGTGCAGTTTCAGGTTATTTCTCAACCAATCTGGCCTGTAAATACGCAGTGCAGTGGGGAATGGCATCCGTGATGATGGGCCTGTTTACCACAATGTTTAAGGTTTCTTGAATACAACATGAATATTGTTTTGTAAAAACTGTTCAAATTCAAGTAAAACAGAAAAAGCAACATATCTTAGCTTGGTTTACCAAGCATTTTACATTAAAAATCTAGCTATATCTATCTTTTATATGTAATAAATTTAAATTTTTTTCTGCTTGTTTGAGCTTTTTTTTAAACTGAATTTTGTACAATGAATACTTTTTTAAAAGACTACTCAAATCCCTGACCCGAGCAGCCCAGACCCCATGAGACATTGACCCTTGACCTCTGTCGGTCCAGCAACAAGCCATCAGCATCTGATCGGTTCTAAAACAGTCGTTTTCATACATTTAACTTCTTTGCCCAGCAGCATCATATCTCCCAGGAGATCGATGAGATCTGATCAACTTTGCAGATCACCCTTTCTGATTGTGAATCCTACAAGCACAGCAACACCGAGACCTGGTTGTACTGCGTTTCCTCTTGGGTACATAGCTGAGATTCTTCAGCAGAAAATGTCTGAAATACTTCGGATGCTTTTGTTTGTGGGACAGCTCCAAATGATCACCACTCATGACTGAGCTCCTGAGGTGTGCCGCATCACCTGTGAAGAATACAACAGGTCTGGCTGAGGTGACTTGCACTACACGTTTTTCAGGCCTCCAATCAATGACTCCATCGGAGGCACTGAGGGAGAGTGTGTCTAAACGCTGCGATCAATGACCCATCAGTTCAGGTTTCATCCTAAAACACCCATGTATTACATATACATATGTTCAGGGTCTTTTGTTGGACTTTCACCAGAGTTTGCTTTCCTAAAAGCCTTGTTTACATTTGTGTAAATGCCTTGTTATGACAAGGTTTGAGCTGTGAACGTGTAATAAAGGAAATATAATGCATTTATGGTAAACAAAAAGATGTGTAAGCAACATTTCTGACAGCTTCTCAACACGTATGGACGCAAAAATGTCAAGTATGTGCTCCTTCCAGGTTCTAAAATGTAAATTTAGGTTCCTCACTTTCATGTTTACTGAAGTGTGAGGGCTGGGAACAAATAAGGAACCATACTTTAACAATTATGTATTGCCTGTATAATAAAAGCCAACAGCTTTAATACTAAAGGCCTTTTTTTACATATATAATCGCTTCATTTTGATTATTTGGCGATTTTCTAGACGCTCTCTCTCCTGTTTTTACTCTACTGCTAAAAGATGTATGTTTCATCGCAGCATACACACATAGAAAATACAATTTAACAAGTAAAAACTTTGAAAATTAAAAAAAAGAAAAGAAAAACAAAACAACTAACTATTCTTATCAATCTCAGCTGAAGACAGCCATGGTTAGCAACTGCTAGCTTTTAGAGCTGACAGAGAAGATAAAGATTTTAAAGTAAAAAAAAATATATCCCTGGTCTCTACATGAAACATGAGTTTAGTGTCTGGATAAAGCATTTTATAATTTCCACAAAAGGACGAGTTTTACAGCTGACAGGACGTCTAGACTTTCATACGATCAGCCGCTTAAGTTTATCGAAACCTGCTGATAACCAACATTAGCCGTTAGCTTAAGCTAGCTAGAAGGTTAGCGACCAAGTCTTAAAACTTGACTTTGTTACTTTACTGAAAATACTGACAACACGGAGGGATACGCAGAGAGTTCTCACCCTTTATAATAAGCCTTGACCCGGACTTGGTGGGAATTTTCGCCGGGGTGGGACATGGTGCTGTCCCGCAACGTCGGCATCATCAGCTCCGCTTCTCCCGACTCACCGATACCCTCTTCCTTCCCTCTTCAACTCCGCTCACCACGCCCGGAAACGCGTTGACTGAAAAGTCCCTCGACAGAGGAGCGACTTAATTGGGACAGCGGTACTAAAAAAACAAAGACGGCGGCCTTCCCTGGTCAAACAAAATTAACATGTAAAGTAGAGGTAAACTTGCGGGGTCCGCCAAGCAACTCCCTACCGCAAAGGCCTAACGGCGGACGATACCATTAGCGGAATGTTTAGGGTGGCGCACCTAAAGGCGTGCACCCTGACGCAAAACAAATAATAATACATACACAGTGTTCACAATGTTATAACAATTTTTTTTGTCAGTACCACTCAAAAATGCATGCAAAACAATAAAACGTTTTTGGGAAGTCAGACAAAAATACTTTCGCAGGACTAATCCAAAGCAAGCTCGAGCTGTAGTTACGTGCTGCCTTCACGTTCCAACATTAAAGTCGGGAATTTTAAAGGCGTGTTTCTCTTCCAAGTTCTCGAAATAAAATATAAAATAACAACAATAATAATAATAATAATAATAATAATAATAATAGAAGAGGTGTATGCTGTTTCAAAATTATTTTAAAAGCTACTGATTCAGAAAACTCACGTTTTTGTCAGATTTATAATAAAGTCAGTATTTTGAGGTAAAATAGTCAACATTCTGAAAAAAAAAAGTGTTTTGACTTTGGCCCTAATCCTTGTTAGTAATTAGGTAAACATCGTGTAAAATGAGCATTTTAGAATGTAGCATTTAATTGTTTTTTCTAGCTTTTGTTTAAAAAAAAAATCCTGTGTGGAAAAAAAAAGCACAATTAATTGTGTTGTACTTCAATGAACCACCAGCAGAGGGGATCCAGTCTAACTTTACTGTCCATTTTATTCAGCATGTTTCCACAATTTATTCTGACAAATATTTGCTGACTACTTTTAACTGAAATCAATAAACAGGATAAGCAAGTTTATCTAAAAACTTGAATATATACTGTGAGTTTGTTTACAAGAGAAGACTGCTGTTTGAAAAACAAACAAAAAAGAATAAAAT